GGTTTAAACTGTCGGTAAAGCTAGACGGATATATTTTAAAGTGCTGGAGAGTTAATCATAACCAACACCGATTGTTAAAGGCTTAAAATGCATCCCTGTGTTTCTGCATGAATCAATCTTTCCCACTGAAGAGTAAATATTTTTCCTCTCTGTTACTCATTAAAAGTGTCATTTGCTTCAGCTTTTTCACGTGCTCCAATCAGCATCACTGTCTCAGTAAATCGAGTCACCTAAAACAAGAAATCACTGCCACGTGACATGGGTTTGCATTCCTCACAAAACCATGTTTCATACACAGCCTTTTCAATAACACGGAGAGCCTGTAAAGTCTTAAAGAAATAAACAGTGTGCACTGAGGCTCTGAAGCGTAGAATAGTCAGCGGGTTATTGTGCCGTTCTAGGTCACACGCATGCGTGCTGCATGAAGCCACTGGTTCGTCAAATGCTTTAAAAAAAATAAATAACATGCCCAAAGAGTTGATAGTGGACGGCTAAATATAGAGTGAACACACAGCTGAAGGCAAATCCAAGTCTCTGGCTGTGCTGTGGCCTGTGAACAGAGAGATGACGATAAAGAGAGAGAAAGGCATGATGTCTCTGTTTATCAGCACTTAAAACTGAAGCTCCACGTGAGCAGTGTTTCACGAGGCCGGAGAATCTATTCTCTGCGGGGTTTTTCTTTTTTTTTTTTCCTTCTTCTTCCAGCTCCTCCTCCTCCTCCTCCACAGTCGCCTACAATGACTAACAGTGACTGGCCTTCTCTGTTGCTCAAACACTGCTTTGGCATTCAGGGCCGACCTCAACTCTCACACGAAAAGTCATCTGAATGACACAGCGTGATATTCGGTCATAGCGCAGGAATGTAGATACCAACATCAGCCCACTCTGGTCCACAAGTCTCGCCTGATGTATTCTCAAATTTCAATTCTGCACTTATGAGGTTGTGTAGTCTGGTGTTGCACAGACAGCATGCCCTGATGTGCCCTATCTGGCATCGTGCAGACAGATTATCAAGTCAGCATTATGTCGCAAAATCAGGGTTAGGATGATAACGGATTTAAACGTGCGGGCTTTCTCCTCAACAGTACGCTCTACGCAGGTGATTTTATTTGTTTGTTTTTCATTTTTTTAAGGGCTATTGTTATCTTACTAGGTGTCTCCACTTGCACACATTGTAGGCACAGCCTCACTCAATATGGCGCAACAGACAAAAAAAAAAAAAGTAGCTTTCTGCTCCTCTACTTTGTCTTTTTTTCTGTTTCTCCTGTTAGTGTCTCCAGCAAGCTGTACTTTCCTATCAGATCCAGCCTGTGAGACCACAGGGGGGTTAATGGAAACTTGGAAACATGAGATGATTATAGCTGGACCAGAGATAAAAAAGAATCAGATCCAAATCCAAAGAGTTTTCTAATTGGGTTTTATTCCTAAGGCAGGGTTGTCTAATGGGACCTGCTTATATCGACTGAAATACTCCAGGCCCTTTTCTTTAATCCGGCCCTGTGTGTAGTAGATCCTGTGTATCCTTGTGTGTGTGTGTGTGTGTGTGTGTGTGTTAGCTTGATGGTACCCATTGGGTTTATACTCCTCACTATTCTCACTACCAGCTCACCATTCTCATGCCATAGAAACACACACAAAGACGGTTTTCTTCCTTTGAGACAGAAACTGAAAATATAATTTTAGATGTACTTTACTCCAGCTCCACAGGGCCTCTGATGAGACGGGCAGTATCGATCTGTTTGTTATACCTGTCAGAGACCCTAAGCCCTTCTCCCCCCCCCCCCCCCGTGCTCTTGACTCACCAGATCAGAGAAACACACACAGGAGGATTCTGAGCAGAGAAAGTTTGAGTGAACTCTGTGACCTATATTCTCTCTGCTTTACATTCCTGAACCATGTATAGTGTTGAACAGAAGCAGTAGAGGTCCCTCTCAAAACCCAGTGTTTAGCTTTTCCCCCCTCTATCACTGAAGAGTATTCACAGCAAAAACAGCGGATTGACTGAGTCCTGATTTGTCTCACCTTCTAATCAGTAGACTTTGTGCCTTTGGTAAGATTAGAGGACAATGTAGTAATGACCCCCCCAACATGCTTTGAACACAAAACAACCAGGTTGACCGACCTGTCATGGACACGCTTGTTGTAGCAACTTTTGTTTTGCTTAGAGGTCAACTATTTTAATTGACACCCTTGGTGTAAATTGAGCCTCATTGCCAGAGCAACTAAAGGTTTGAAAAAAGAAAAAAAAGGAGTTGTTGGTGTCCTTCCTCAAATTTGATGCGTTCATGCACCCACACATGAAGTCTTTATTTAAACCTTTGAGAGTTTCCATGTGTTAATCTCATGACTCGTGTTTGAAAATGAGCGATGTTTGGGGAAGTAATGAAATAAACCTGACATTTCAGAAAAGAAGAAGTGAGATCAGAGGTGACTCGTCTCATTATATCCACTCCTCAGTCACATGGTGCTTTTTTTTTTAACTCGGTGAATTTGTACTTTGATCTCCGGCCTGGCTGCCTCGGGCATAAAGACCGGCTCAGCAGGGCGTCTAACCTCAGCCCGTAATGTGTGTACTCATCTGGAATCAGATATTTAGTTTTGTTGAGGGGATAAATCCTGTGAATTATCGACTTTCCCTCATAGATTTTGATCTATGACACTATGATGAAATCCAGTCCATACACCATGCTAATGACTAAAGACCTGCCTTTTGATTAGCTTGACAAGAGATTAATAATCCATGCTCAAATTGCTTTAAAAAAAAAAAATGCAGCATATGGCAAGTTGAAGATGAATTATGAATTGGGCGGGCAGCTTACTGTGGGATTGTAGGCTTGGTCGCGTGTGTCCCCCGCTTACCCTCCCTAAAAGTAGCCTAAACCCACGCGCGGGGAGTCCAGATTAAAGGCGTTGGGGGTCAGCGGGTTTTGTTTTAGGAGCTCTACTTTATGTTTGAAGGAAGGCCTCGTAGATTGGATTGATTGGAGCCCCCTCAATATCCACAGTGCCCCCAGATTATAATGATGGGATCCCCCTGGTTTCTGATTGGGTTAATCTCGGCTTCTGTAATGATGTTCTCATTACCGCTCATTGACCTTTGAGTCTTGAAGGGTTTGGGAAGGGTTTGAGGAGAGTTATTTAACACTAACAGAAACTTTGATTTAAAGTTACTGATATTAAATGTTTTTTTCTGAGAGATTGGCTTTCAGTTAACAGCCACGGGACTTTTGGTTAAAAAAAAAAATCACTGAAGCACCTCCCAATGGCTAACTGGCAGTGATCATTGCTTTTATTATTTAACTAGAAGATGACTTGTTGTGTAACAGTTCTAAACTCTGCGCATGTGCACCCGTCAATGTTTGTTGTAGGCGAGCAACTTTTATTATTTTCATTTTATGAGAGTTTTGCAGAGCAGGATATCTGCCAGGAACACAGTAAATAAAAGTCGGTCAGAGTTTCCTTAAACACAGAGTGAAGTCTTCAGCAGTTCACAAGCTTAAAATAGACACACAGTGAATAAATGTTTGCGCAAAAAACTTCTTGGGTGATGCGCGAAGAAACAGTTATTTCCTGTCGCTCACCTGATGCACTCATTTTATCTCGAGTGAGTTTGCTCAGTTGGTACTTCGTCTTTGCCTTCTGAAAATCTAAATCTACACTCTACAAGCTTCTCATGTTGCTGACATAAAGTAAGCGCCATGTCAAACTGCTGTTGCTTCTAAATAAGGCATACCGTCTCTCGGCGTGAGAGTGTATCTGTTCACCATCACTATCTCCCAGCCTGGGTCGTCATCTTTCCTGGAACGTGATAGATATTAAAGCCAGCCTGCACGAGACATGATGTCACACATTCCTGCAACCCATTAAACTAGTTTTTACATATTCAACCAAGTCCTGCAAGTAGGTCAGTGCGACCACTGCAAATTTTCCAGATTTTCCTTTCTCTAAAGGAATTACTGGGATTAAAACGGTACGCCGTCAAAGAGAGAAAATCCTGCAGCAGCCGGTCACGTGCAGATGGAAGGGGGTAGCAGGTCAGAGAGAAGGGAGAGTGCACTGCAGCTGCAAACAAGGTCAGGTTCAGTGCCTCAGGTGATTTCAGATTACAGGCCTGCGCTCAAACTGAGAGGCTAGATGGGATCGGCTCACTGGTCGTTACAGGATGGGTAATGAAATCTGTAAACACGGGGAGGATTTTTGAGCGATGGGAGATTGTAGACTAACCTAGATTCGGCTGCAGTTAAAGGACTGACTCTATCGCTCCATTTTGCTTTCTTTTTAATTTTTTTTATATTTGCTGTCTAGCAGGCCATTAAGAAATTAAGGTCAAATTAAGGCAGCACCATGAGCAGCACTATTAATAATGAAACTGTTTTTACATCTCTCTGTCAAACCGCATAACTCTTCTCGGCATTTCAACAGAGAAAATCCCCCAAAAGAAGGCAGAAGTCTGGCCTGTGTGGCTTCCATAATTGTTTAATCTCCATAAACCTTATCCTTCTCAGGAAATCCGTAAAATCAAATCATTTCTGCTGACCTCCTCCCAACTCTGCTATGATCCCCTGAAGTATTAAGAGCATTAGAAACACAGGCGTCTCATGGTCTCAGACACTCGTCCATTTGCTCCACTTCTCCTGTTTGGTTTTTGCCATCTGTGGAGTCACTGCTGAGCACGTGCGAGGGGAGGCCAACATCCTGCAGGAAGGGGAGGGAGGAGGCGGACCAAGGGGGGAAGACAGGAATCAGGATGATGCAGCCCAGATGGAGCCTAACTGATTATCTCTACGGGACAGTCCCCAGTTGAACCTCAGTAGTAATCACAGAGCAATTATATATAAAAAATGTAAACAGCTATAAATCACTCCATTCCTTGATTAAGATATATCCGTATTTTTGGTTTTAAAAAGGGGGTTATGATTTTTTTTTAACCAAACCTCCTATATGTTTCAATACTAAAGCTCCAATATTAAAATCATGTTCCTCTTTTATTGTCTCTCCAGGCCTTCGGACAAGCCTACTCCAACCACAGGAAGGTGGCAGCCGATGGGGAGAGCCGCGAGGAGTCTCTGATCCAGGAGTCGGCCTGTAAGGAGGCCTACTACGAACAGAGGGTCCTCGAGCTGCAGAACGAACTCCGCCAGACACGCAACATCCTCACCAATACCCAGTCTGAGAATGAACGCCTGAACACCATCTCCCAAGAGATGAGAGAGGTAAGATTCGGGATTTCCCAAACCAGGAATTACAATAGGAATAATATTAGCTTCTTTTTTTGTTGTTGCTTTTCTTAAGGTTTATTTTTGGGCGTTTAATGCCTTTATTTAGAGAGAGGATGGTGGATGAAGTCACAGGTCGGATTCAAACCTCGGCCGCCCGCTTGAAGGACGAAAGCCTCTGTGCATGGGGAGTGCGCACTAACCACTCGGCCCGCTCCCGGCCTTTTAAAAGAGGGTTAAAAAACTATCTGCATTCATTTAAACAAACAATTCTTATATTATGTTTGAGTAAAGTCTGAGAGTAACAACAGAGGACTGTTTGTTCTGTAATAGTTATTTCCCTACGTCAATACTTAATAATGTAAGTAACTCTGAAGTTTTGAACTTTCTTCTTGAGTTGAAGCAGAGAGCTGTGTCTGCTCCTTTTTGCCTGCAGCTGTTCAGAACAATGGGTGGGTTTGTTTACGTCTCATGTAACTCAACCCTCTGAATCTGCAGATATTCATCACTTTTCAATCTCTTTCGCTTCGATGCCGGGCCCGGTGGGGACAATGTGACGCTCAGCATTTTCACTTTGAACTATGAGGACACGAGTTCTCATAGATAACAGCCAGGTGTACGGAAAGAAGAAGTGCTGCCTAATTAATGCACTGACATTCCCTGGCTTCTGAGACTTTCAATACAGCTGTCCCAACCTGCATAACTTTAAGGTTTGATTAAAGACCCGACAGCTGTTGTGTCTTTTTGACATGCTAAGACAAGACTAATCATCATGTAACTGCTGAAGGAGACACACCTGGCTGATAGAAGCAACACCCTGCCTTCAAGCTTAAAGTGATGTCCTCCACCCTTATTGTGAAGCAAGGTGGAGTTATAATTACAGACAACAGAAAAACACATGGGGCCAAGGGAAACATGCATGATCGTACATGAATTATTAATGGATTTAATATCTCAAAATTCTTTGAACAGTTTGATGACAATAATACTGAACCTGTTGCTCATAAGTGACACGCCACTTGGCAGCTCAAACAAGCCTTTTACTCAACCGAAAACATGACCATCACCATGTAGAATATGCCCTCTGCACATTCCAGCAGGCGTTTTCTTACACCTCTCTCTAAATCTCCCCGACTATCATAATGCCAACCTTTTATAGTCTGCGCCCCACTTTAAACAATGTCTGACCTCTCCACCGCTTCTATTTACATATATAGTCACAGCTAGTTGACCTCATTAGAGGAGACAAGGGTGCCGTGCAGAGCATGGGTTGAATGTCTGCCAGTGGGCACGCCTGTGTGATGGCGCTGGTGATGAGGAGATTGAATTAACAGGAGAGTTCTACGGGCGGAGATCCCACTGACTTGAGAGATGTGCAGAGCTTCCAGGAAGCCCGTTTGACACAGAGGCAGGGAGACAGGACGGGTTGAAGGGAGATGAACAGATACTGACAGGAGGCCAAAGGGAGCCTCTCGCTAGAATAATGACGAGGGGGCTCTGAAGTTGCAACTAGTTTCAGGAGTTTGGTTTTATGAGGAGAGAAGCACCAGACTACTAATTGCTTGTTTTGACCCTTCCTGCATACCTCCGCCGTGCAGCCGCCCTCTTCAGTGTGCGTTAAGTCTTAGTCCTCCATTTTCCTCATCTTCTTAATGCTTTTTTAAATGATTGGTCAAACGAATCCAGTATTCCAAAGTCTTCCTGTGTATATGCACAAGAGATCCGGCCTACCGCTGGTTTTCAGGTCAAGTTGGTAAGCGTTTGAAAGAGGCCCCCCCCTTCCAGCGGGGGTCTAATGTCTTTGGCAGAAAATTACAGGACTCAGCTTGTTTTTCCGTGTGTCACCGCTTGAAACAGATGTCGGCAGCATTTCTTACTGAGATTAGTGGAAACGACTTAAAAAATGGCATGTCCACCACATCATCGACTTAAGTTCCAGAAAGCTCCAAATTCAGCCATAATTAGGTCAGCCGCTGCTCAGCTCTGCATCTCCGGTTTGTTTGGCATTATTAAAACCAGATGTGCCTCAGTAGACATGTTTTGAATCCGAGCTCTCCTGTAGAACAGTGTGCTGCTTGCTGTGCAGGGTAAACATTTCTACATTGTCTTAAATGACCTCAGTTTATTTACTTCTAAGAGCTTTAGTTTACATTTAGTTAGTAAAAGCATTACTTTTTCTCCTGCACATATAATCCGCAGAATTAGTGAGACTGGTGTTACACTGGTGGAACTGACATGAATGCCTTTCTGAAGGTGCCATTCCTGTAATAAACACCCTGATGCAGCATCATGGGCTCCTGCCAGCTTTAATTGGCTGCATAAAAGGTGAAAGAGTGACAATCGCCCCATCTATGGGATATAATGACACCCTTCTAATGGTAATTCTGTGGGTGCTAGGAGGAGTGTGTGTGGCAGGCAAATGGAGGGAGCCTGGGCACTGAGGCTGGCATTGTCACCAGACTGACAAGACTGAAAGACGCCCTTGTCTCCTGGGTTTTCAAATTAGCCCATAAGCTGAGGCAGGGAGGACCAGAGGGAGGGGGGTGGCTCTAAAGAAAGAGAAGGAGGCCTGAAATCCATTAGAGAGAAAGAAAAGGTCTTAATGAGAGCATATTCAGCAGAAGTGGTGAACGTTGCTGCTTTTCTGGGACAGCATGGCTAATCATATCAAGTCAGGAGTTTGAATGAATGACTCAGATTCATCCACTGATTATCAACTGATACTTGGGCAGCCACTGTTGCCGTGTGTATTTGTGTGAAAGTGAGATGTTCCTCTACAAATCTGAGATGTATTTAGGCTGAGAGCTTTCATGGCATGAACACAGCAAAAAGGGAAGGGAAGGAGAAATCGTGAAAGGCTTAGAAAATGTAATTTCACTGCCTGTTGTTCACATATCAATGACTAGATAGTGTCATCCTCCACAGACCTGGACGCTTCACTAAGTGTAAAACGGATTGAATGTCTGAACAGCCCAGTTCATTCACAACCGTGAAGTAACAGCATTTCATCTGGATGCTTCCGTCACATTTTCTTTAAAAAAAAAAAACCTCCCAGGCAGGCTCTGATGCCAAAGACTTGAATGTTAGCCCCAAGCACCGATGAGACATTTTCACTGCTACGGTATCGTCTACAGGATTAGACGTCCACAAAGAGTCAGTAACATTGTAAGGAGGCGCTCTCTAATAGGCATGACTTCATTAAATTCAATCTCTTGGCTGGAGGGGAACGAGCCCACAGTGATGGCTGCCATTATCCTCACAGAATGAAGATCCCCCCGTAGCCTGAGGAAATAATCGAGCACAGCTCAAGATCAAAAGTGCTGAGAAATTGTTTTCAACGTAGTTCACTCTATCTGTACTCTCTTTATTCACACTCTTGGAATTGCTGGCAGCACTTCCTCTCTAAATATACACTCTTAGGATGCTGTGTTAAAGTGTCCTATCCACTCATTAAAGATCATCTTTCAAACTGAAATGATTCACCTATTTCATTCACCGACACATTCATTATGATGCCGTGCTCTTTGTCAATCGCCTTAATGTGGAAGCCATTCAAATGGTAAACATGATTGCTTTTTCCACCTCATTGACGCGGTGGATGGAGCCGTCAGACATTATACTCCCTCTTAATTTAAGTGCCGTTTGGTTCAGGTGGATTAAACACCTGAAAAATGAGAGTGGAGGATTGAATAAGGGAGGTTTCTGCATTGATTGCAAGAGATTTCAGAAGTGTACGCTTATTAAGAGAAGAACCATTGTCTTGTCGCCGCAATCACAGAAATTGGGACTAAAACGCTGTGAGTTTCTCGGGAACAGATGGAGCTTGAGTGCTGTCATGGCAGTGTTGAACCTTTTACCTTGGATTTCTTGAAGGTCAGAGTTGAGTGGTAAAAAGATCAGAGGAGGGTTGCTCTTTGTTTCCTCTTATTATCTTCTGACATGAGGCAAATGTGAGAAGACTCTCAGAGCCCTTTTTGGTATCGATGTCGTCTGCACTATTATTTATTTTGACATCAATGCCAAGACAGATTGCGCCTGTCTAGTTAAAGCCAGAAGAGGCGGGCGGGGGGGGGGGGGGGGAGTATAGAAAGGGGAACAGAGAAAGAGCTGGAACATTGGTTCTCTAGAGTCTAGAATAACTGTGCTGCAGAGGGATATGAGTAGATGTAGGAAGTTGGTTCTCCATTTCTATTTTCCACCAGCCATTTCACCTTCTGAGTGACCTACAACTTAAAAGCCTCTGGGTGTTATCTGGGCTATCTGGCCACAGCACCCAACATCACCCCGTCTTGCTGTCACTTCAGCCAACTGAGCTACATGTCTCACAAACTGATGTCTATTTTTAACACTTAGGAAAGGGTCATCTAAAATGCATGTAGAAGACTTGCTATTGATCCGGGATAAGGTTTGTCTTTTGATATCAGCTTTTAGGAAGCTCTTAAAGTGTGTTGTTATTGATTTGCGTCCCTGGCTCACAGCACCATGGAGGCTTTCAACACCAGATCGATGGAACCTAATAAATCAACAACACATACAAACAGGTCACACATTCACTCAGACTAATGATGTACATACAGGCTCCCCGTGCACATTTCTCTTCTCTCAAACAAATGACCTGAAGAGCACAGATTCACAGTAAAGTGCATGCTGGCACACTGTGACCCTGTGGGCTCAGCATTCACACAGAGGGCATCAGTCACACACTCCAAAGGTTCCTTTCACTTTTTAGCTTTTAATTGTCTCATTGAAAAGTGTGACCTTGAGTGTGTTTTTTTTTTTTTTTTTCTCTCCTCCATAATGGAACCTGATAAGGCTGAATAGAAAGACAACAGCTCCCAGCACAGAGGAGGATAAAAACAGATCTGCTTTCACCGACTTTGTCGACGCTGACAGAAGCAATGGGCCCCTGAGCTTCATTATTCCTTTGCTCTGTCTAAAGCTATATCAGGGGGGGGTGGGCTGCACTGCATCTGTGATTCATGCCTCGTCTCTCCCGAAGGTAATCCCGTGATGAGCGCGACTCTGTAGAGTTAGATTTAACCGGGGGTTGTCGTGACCTTGGCGTGCTGCAGAGTCTACGGGACATGTAAAGTATTATTCCATCAACAAGTCCAAAACTTTTTCTGTGGCGCACAATTTTACATTTAAACAGAAGTGAACATGGCTGTCCCTTTCTACATCTCTTTAATGGATAGATGCTTATGATGGAAGTACAGCTCAGAACGAGGAATGAGTTTAATCGTGACTGGTACATGGCTTCTGAAGCACTCTGACACCTTCACAGGAGAGAGGGGATGTGGGGTTGGAGGAAAGAAATGGCGCAAAAGAGGTCAGTGCATTAGAAAGAGAAGCAGTGGGAGGAATATCGACCTTCACTTGGTTTCGTCATGGCATCTGGGAATCTTCTGCACTGTGTTGGAACAGAAATAGGGGGAAAATCTAGTGCATGTGCATTTTACTGAAGTGCTAAGTGAGCAGGATGGAGGGTTACAGGGAGGTCAGTGGAGTGAGGGAAATAGTGGCTTGAAGGAAAAAAAAAACTATATATTTAATTTGAGCTTGTCTATACTAACATATCAATAATACAGGCATGTGCCATCTGGCTGTCTGGGCATTACTTTTCAAGAGAGCCAAACCAGGGGATAAGTGCCAGTAAATATGGATTTTGTAAAAAGAAAAAAAAAAAAAGCAAGCTGAAAAAAAAAAAGAGCAGAGCCTTCAATAAAGTATTAAAACATTCCTAATCTACAGTTGTGTTAAGCCTGAAACTTTGCTGCCGTGGCTTAGCCACCGAGTAGAGGTTATAGTCACTCAGAAACACTTGAGAAATTACTCCGAGCTTTAGTGAGATTTAAGCTGGCTCAGTCCCACTGTGCTGTCAAAAGCAGTTTAACAGTGAAAAGAAAGCTTAAGAGTTGAAAGTGAGAGTTCATAAACATTGCAGTACAGTGAGAAAGAGCTGACCATCACAAATGTGTGCTTCAGTGATATTTTGCAGTACTGCATGAACCAGAGCCAGGTTCATTAGAGGAGAAAACTTCATCCTCTGTATGTTTTTTAATCCATAACATATCAATCCTATCAGTCAGGTTTACGGTATGAAGGTTTGAACTGCCACCCACTTCGCATGGAAGTGACACATTTGTCTGTATGTATGTGTGTGTGTGTGTGTGTGTGTGTGTGTGTGTGTGTGTGTGTGTGTGTGTGTGGGTGGTGAGTGTGTGTTTTTAAGCAGCTGTCCAGACACTCCCTGTAGTGACAGCAGGCAGTCATTATGAACCACACACAGGCCTGTGGTCATCAAAGGTTTCACAATGACTAGATCTCTTTAGGTGGCACCTCAGGTGGCTTTCCCCCTACACACACACACACACACACACATTAACACAAACATTACCATGAGACGTGTTCTACTCGTGTAATTAAATGCTGTGTCGCAGATTCACAAAAAACCCTAATGAGTTACTCAAATCAACTTCCACCCCCCACCCCCCCACCCCCCCACCCCCAGTCTCTGAGGGGTTCAGTGTCGCACAGGATGTGGAAGCAATGTGAAAGGTCAAAGCCGTGTTATGCATTGTAATCAGATTGGAGGAGGGTCTTAATCAGGTTCAGAGGTGGCCTGTATTCATCAGGACCATGCAGCACTGACCCTCCAGCTGAGCCTCATAACCCCCAGACAGGAAGAGACCTGAACACCCAGCTGGTGCAGCTCTGTTGAGTTCAAAGTAAAGAAAAAAAAAAAAGATGACTCCAGTGATGGCGTAATTATCATGAAAGTCTCTATGAAAATATTGTCTGAATGATGTTTGATACTCCAAAGCTGATGAGTAAAGTATCCGAATCTATTAGTGGTTTAAGGTCTTTATTAATTTTTGCCTCTTTTTTTTTTTTTTTTTCATTTCTCTCTTACCATTCAGGCCTACTGTGTGGAGGCTTAGTATCAGGACTGATCGGTATTGTAAGCTCATGCATTATGCAGTAATGCACTAACGCCCACGCTCATTAGACATGTGCAGAGCTCTGCTGAATATTAATGCACCTTCAAACGTCAGCCTCAAATCAGCTCTACACACAGCGATTTATTATTATCATCAGAGAGAGGAAACGAGCAGCATGTACTCCTTATCATTCTGGATTTAGCAACATAATTGCTATCAGTGGATCCCCTCTCAGTAAGCCAAACTGATAAACTCAAATTATAGAGATAAAGAAGTACAAAATGTTTTTTGTTATGCCATCGTCTCCTGGGTCAGAATAATTAGCTATTTTGGTGAATGATTTGTAGTTTATTACGGGAGCTGTAAATACTGTACTCAGTACTCTGTGTCTTCTAGTTATTAAAAGGTGTTTAGAATACCTGTCATCACCATCATGTTACTCACTCTATTTCAATAATTATATACCTCAAGTATATTCACTCTCAAGGCATTGTTGACATGAGAGATTCTGCAAAGTGAAAGCCACCCTGGATTGATTTCCTCTGGTCGCTGAAAGGATCTTTGAGCAGGGATTGGGGATGTGGCCCACATGGTGACAGCATGAGAGGAAGGGGCCACCTGGCAGGGGGATTGGGACGCTAATTGTCCCTCTGGTTTAAGATTGTCTCTGCCAGCTCTCCTGGGAGAACGTCGCTCATCACTCGAAACACAAACGTGCAAATCCTGCAGATAGAGAGTGCGTGTGGATACAGAAACTCTCCTACATGTACATGTTTACACATTCAGCACATGCTCAACAACAGATAACACCAACCATGCATTGAACCTTTGCCCTGTAAGTCATGCATTAATCCTTGCGTGCATGCGTGGAGCTTCAAGGTCAGTAGACAGTGTTTTCCTTACTCTTTCACTTAACGTACACACACACAACGTGCATATTTCCTGATTTGGTTCACAAAGGGTGAGGCCCACCCTCCTTCAGTGAGTATCCTGTTACTTCGGAGCCATTATCTTTTTCTCTAGAAGCTGCCGGCTAACATGTACACCCTCCTTATCCGTCTATCTTCTTCATGTCCTGTGGGGCTCTTTATGTTAGGGATGAGCCAAACAGCAGGGGTGGGAGGGCGGTGACAAAAATGTAGAAGGGCACAGAGCGGACGTTTAAACAGGGTGATTTTCAAGGTAGTGAGAGACAGGTGGCCTAGCAGGGCTGATCGTTCAATCCTTCTGGCTTTCAGTTTGTTTCTACCTCCAGGTTGGGGAGGAGCATGTCTCAAATGATGTAACAAAATGTTAACATCATTCATTTAGCTTCACACTCAACTTCTGACTTCCTCGGTCGTTCTCCTTGTTCATAGTTCATGAGCCAAGTGTATTCACTCCTCTTCACAAAAAGAGACCATTACAGTTCTTCCCAGCCATTGAATGCCTGTCACCATTAGCACGATAAGTAGGCTCCAGTCTCTTTTGGTGCTATCGGAGCTGGCAGACCAGCACACTTGTGGCCCACTGCCCAGAGAGCCACCTGGTCCTTCCCTGTCAAACATGGACAAGCACACACACACGCACACACACACACACACACACACACACTGGGTTTGGCCATATGGGAGCCCTCTCCTATCTAGCAGGATTTAGAGTGTTTAAGAGCCAACCTGACACAAACAGTTACACCAAAGCAACAATATCCAATCAATCGCAATCTCTCCCACACTCGCTCAAATGGGATTGTAAAAGTCAGCGTCACTGACTGCTCTTCCTCCTCCCTCCCTCTGTCCACCTGGTTTGTCCCCACAGAACAGCCAGATGGTGGAGCTCCAGAGGAATCAGCTGCGCGATGACATCAAGGAGTACAAGTTCCTCGAGGCCCGTCTGCTGCAGGACTACACCGAGCTGGAGGAGGAGAACATCTCGCTGCAGAAGCAGGTGTCCGTGCTGAAGCAGAGCCAGGTGAGGTTTGCTGCAGCTCCGCAAGCATCAAGCATTAATAGATTTAACGGGTAAGGAGGGATGGAGTTGTAGACAGAAGTAAGAAGGGATTGGTGAAAGGGAGGAGAATAACGGCAGAACATCATACATTACTCTTCTCTACTTATCCATATGCAGTTGCCTTCATTTGGAGTAACTAAGCTGGTAGTTTTAGTTTAATGTAGTTGAAATACACTGTCTTACAACATCTTGGACCCTACAGACCCTTTCCATCCCACGCATCAGATGTCCCTCTATTTCCCTCTTGTACTCGTCAGACTGCCAAAAGAAGTGAGGGAACTGCAATATTCTGATTTCTGAATCCTTGGAGCGGCTGACTGGTTGTAGAAGTGTGTTACAGATTCTTAGACAGCCCTCATTCTTCACACCAGAGATTTTAACACTTGATTATTTAAAAAAAGGAATAAAAAAAAAAGGCTTAATGGGTTTAGCCAAATGAGTGAAAGGGGAAGAAAAACCATTGCACATGAAACAGAGCTGGATTGCTAAATAGAATTTGTACATTTGATGCTGGCTTTCATGCCAGAGCTGTTAATTCTCCCAAGAGACCTTTGTCGTCTTGGATTTGGGTTTTTATATTTTTCAAAGGGGCATGAAATAAACAAAAGTCCCTTTCACATTTAGACATCCTCTAAAAAAAGGGAATTTCCAAATCCAATTAACTTAAAACTAATTAAGAATGAAAGTGAAAGGATTATGATTCTAATGAACATTGTATTAAGTAACGTCATTCATTTTGATCCAGCTGGTTTGTCCAACATGAAGACATGAGACACACAGCTCCGGTTTGTTGAAGGTGCATGTAGTGGTACTCACTCCTCTGTAAATCCTAAATAAAGACGTTCCCTCTCCTCCCTTGCTCAGGTTGAGTTTGAGGGTCTGAAGCACGAGATCCGTCGTCTTGAGGAGGACACTCAGTTCCTAAACAGCCAGCTGGAGGATGCCATCCGGCTGAAGGAGATCTCTGAGCGTCAGCTGAGCGAGGCACTGGAGACCATCAAGACTGAGCGTGAGCTGAAAGCTTCCCTGAGGAAAGAGCTCTCCCACTACATGAACATCGGAGACAGTCTGTATCACAGGTAAAAGAACGTGAAGGTGCTCACAGGCTTCAGCATAGATACTCTGTAAGAACAGTAAATGACACACCTTTTCCCCCCCCATTAGCCCTCTTAGCATTTCTCTGGATGGTCTCAAGTTCAGCGACGATGCCTCCACCGAGCCTAACAACGACGAGGCTCTGCAAGGTTATGAGAACGGCTTCACCAAACTGGCCAACGCCATCAACTATGACAACTGTGTATCCACGCCCAAGAAGGAAGACCTGTTTAATCCTGCACCCAGCCTGGTGGACGACCTGCTGAGCGAACTCAACATCTCAGAGATCCAGAAGCTCAAACAGCAGCTGATGCAGGTTTGTTGTTGTTGTCGTTGTTTCTTGTCTACAGTTTAAAAAAAAAAAACATCTCTGACTTCTGCCAGTTTCAGTGAATGATAAACATTCTATAGACAAGCAACTTTGTATATGAAAGTATATAGTAACCATGAGTGCTGAAGAGCAGGTTGCCCTTATAGATTGCCATGTCAACAGCTTTTTAGCACCGTGTATACACACTTTAGTTATTTCAATTTGCAACAAATAGTCGAAACAGTGGGACTCTGTGTTTGAATAGTTTTGAGGTGCTTTTTAAACGCACCTCAAAACTATTCAAGTAAGAGAGAAGGTGATATGTTTGCACCCTGACCAAAGCTGCTGCAGGAATCAAATGCTGTTCTTGCAAAGTTAATCCAGAGAGACGCGCACACCCTTCAGGCTCCGCTGGGCTGCGGCAGCGGCCGAGGCAGCGGGTGGTGGCACCAGTGGACTTGCCATCTGCTTGATCATCACCCCATGAGTCCAGGGCCACGCCTGATTGGGCACCATGGTTACCAGAAAGCTCTTGGAACCTGTGGATAATGATTGTTTTGAGGTCTAAGGGATTAAGGTCCCCCCCCCCCCCAACCTTCATCAGAATAAACACAGTTTCTGGATTTACGAGGGATCTACAAATTACCTCAATGCCTTCATGCTCTAGTTACCAGTCAGGTGTCAAACAACACAAGTGTGCTGAATTCAAACAAGCTCTATGAATTCAACATTTATCTGACCTCCTCTTCCCTATCTTATTTCATTTTATTGATCTACTGATCTAGACCTTTATTTTTGGGTTTAACTCCCTAAGTCCCTGTCTATGACATCATCTTAATATTTTGCAGGAGATGCATGCATGTGGGATAGCTGCTCACACGCCTTCGTCCAAGTGAAGTTAATGATGACCGAGCCTTTCAAAGCGCCATCTCTTTTTTTTTTACAACTCGCCATCATTATATATTCCACGCTAATAAAAAATGCATGCATGCATGAGAGTGTGACTGTGAGACTTTCATGTTATTTACAGATCATCCTATGAAATAGCTCGGTGCTTAACTCAGCACAACTGCGTGCATGTGTGTAAGACGACCCACCCTGGATCTCCGCCAGCGCTGAGCTGAGTCCAATCCAGCAAACTGTCAAGGTCATCCCGACTCTGATGCTGCACTACTGGGCAATGAGCCTCACATACCGCCCAACACAAGCCTGATAGTGTGTCCAGTTACTACATGACAGTTAATCCACTGATTTAATTTGATCTGTTCTGCAGCACTCCTTCACTTCATCACGTTACAAAGATATTCAAATGTGAGATTAGATGTGGGCCGTAAGGCAGGAGGACAGTAGATAGAGACATACAGTATGATGTTCTCACTTCTTATTGCTCTTTGCGTCTCTGCCTCTCCCCTCAGATGGAGCGTGAGAAGGTCAACCTGCTGTCCACCCTGCAGGACTCCCAGAAACAGCTAGAGCAGGCGAACGGTGCTCTGTCAGAGCACCAGGAGAAGGTCAACCGCCTCACGGAGAACCTCAACGCCATCCGTAAACTGCAGGCCAGCAAAGAGCGCCAGTCTGCCCTGGACAACGAGAAAGAGCGTGATAGCCATGAAGACGGAGACTACTACGAGGTGGATATCAACGGACCTGAGATTCTGGAGTGCAAGTACAAGGTACTGAAGTCATGCAGCTGAGGGTTGAAAAGACGATATGTAAATGAAATATTCTCAATTTTTGAGTGGTGTTAAAATCAGTTCTCTTAAGATACATTTCTCTGTACTTTGTATTTGTATGCTGAAACGCACTTTTTTTTGTCCAGGTTGCTGTGTCTGAGGCAGGAGAGCTGAAGGAGGAACTGAAGACTCTGAAGACAGAATACCAGGCCTGTCAGTCACGCTACGAAGAGGAGCGCACCCGTCTCGAGATTGATGTCACAACGCTGGGAGCGAAGCTGTCCACTCTGGAGAGGACGAGTCACGCCGAGAGAGAAGCGAAGAACAAGCTTGAGAAGGAGCTGCGCAAGGTGAGATGTTGCTCCGGCTGTATGTGGACAAAAAAACCTTTGTAAATGTTGTAGGAAAAGAACGTGCCCCCGTGACGCTTTTTCTTTGTGTCCTCAGTTGAGCGATGTCGCAGGCGAGTCTCAGGGTAGTCTGAGCGTGGCACAGGACGAGCTGGTCACCTTCAGTGAAGAACTGGCCACCCTCTACAACCACGTCTGCATGTGCAACAACGAGACACCTAACCGCGTCATGCTCGACTTCTACAAAGAGGGCAAGGGTGGCCGGAGCAGCCCAGAGGGCCGCGGCCGCCGCTCTCCCATTCTGCTCACCAAGGGCCTTTTCCCTGAGCCTGGTAAGACCGACCTGAGCGACGGTGCCCCTTCACCCGTCTCCTCTTTGCCTTCTCCCGTGTCCGGCCGCGAGCCCATGAACATCTACAACCTGGTGGCCATCATCAGAGACCAGATCAAGCACCTGCAGCTGGCTGTGGACCGCACCACAGAGCTGTCCCGCCAGAGAGTAGCCTCGCTGGAGTACGGCACCGTTGCCGACAAAGACAAAGAAGCCTGCATGGAGGAAATCCTTAAACTGAAATCCCTGCTCAGCACCAAGAGGGAACAGATCGCAACCCTGAGGACTGTCCTCAAGGCCAACAAGCAGGTGAGTTTCATCAGATTTATCTCGAGAATTTTTAGAGTGCATGTTTGAGTTATTCAGCTTCACTCCGTAACATTTGTCAGTTTCTGCTGACAGACGTAAGCAGGAGAGAAGGGTGTGAGCTATTTCAGGTCTAGTCAGCTGTTCCAGCAAATGTGTTGCAGACTATAAGATTCCTCACAAACACTGGAGGAGACAGCAGCCTTATGATGCCAGCTGTCCTAAGTATCAGTGTGCTTAGGATGAGAGAACAGCCTCCAAAGCAAAAGGACCCATAGCCCAGAGATACTCTGTGTGTGTGTGTGTGTACAGTTGCTGTTTCAGCCCTTTCAACCCTGTGTGTGGTAACCCTAGTGAACATTAGAACACAAAACATGAAAGCCTCTCATAAACCACACACAGTAGCAACTTCAGTCTACAGGCCTACCTTAGTGACTTGGGGGGTAAAAAAAAAAAAAAAAAAAGTCATATGCTTCTTATTAACAGACTTGTTGTGACACCCCCAATGCCATCCAGCTGCTCTGACCCTTTTGTTCTTGTCTTCCAAACCGCAGACAGCTGAGGTTGCTCTGGCCAATCTGAAGAGCAAGTACGAGAACGAAAAGGCCATGGTGACCGAGACCATGATGAAACTGAGGAATGAGCTCAAAGCCCTGAAAGAAGATGCTGCCACCTTTTCTTCTCTCAGAGCCATGTTCGCCACACGGTAAGAAACGAGCTGACCGCTCACCGAACCCCGCTGGTATGTTACCTTAACAAAGATTAGTGTGAAGAGTAACACAGCAGACTTTGTGCTATTGTTATAAATACTGCACACGCACCATACAAAGACCATACACAATAAAAGCAAGGTAATCTTCAAACAAGGTTATCATCATAATGTAATCCATGTTTACCACATGGACTGGCTTTGTCTCTGTGCTATTTCTGTAACATGACATGTTTAAAGAGGATGTTGTTTGTTTTGGAGAATCGGTCAGAAAAGGATACCAGCAGTGATACCAGCTAAAGAGCACAGAAGGTATCTAATCTGGGGGTCAGAAATATGTCACTTCAGTCATGTTTTTAACCAGTGATTTAGTGTGTGTGTGTGTGTGTGTGTGTGTGTGTGTGTGTGTGTGTGTGTGTGTGTGTGTGTGTGTGTGTGTGTGTGTGTGTGTGTGTGTGTGTGTGTGTGTGTGTGTGTGTGTGTGTGTGTGTGTGTGTGTGTGTGTGTGTGTGTGTGTGTGTGTGTGTGTGTGTGTACGTACGTATCAGATGAGCTGACACGCTCGCTAATCTTTCCTGATTCCGAAGAGAAGCCGGTCAAAGGTTCTGTGCATAATCCCACCTCATCTTGGTCTGGATTACACATTTTACTCCATAACACATAGTGGACTAAGTGCTCACACACCCGGTGTTTACTTGTGTGTGTGCATGCATGTGGAAAACAAAGGAAATGATTGCAAGAACACTTGTGAAGGAACTTAAACATATTAACAGATAACAGTAGTGATTCCATGTGGGAACAAGTCACTTTTTGAGTTAGCTTTTCTTTATTTCAATTTTGGTGCAAACTGTAAATATCAACTCTGGTCCAGATGGCTGCCCTGAGATGCTGAGACAGTCTTCCTTTCGGCAATTTTAGAATCCCCCACAATCCACAGCAGAACTCAAGCTGTGCAGAGTGAGGAGAGGTAGAAGAGAGGAGGGTCGGTACAACGATTATAGAACCAAGGTTACAGAGGCTGCAGGGAATGTGTGGGCAGCTCAGCTGCCCTCATCTTGCCCACACAGTAATTCAATAGCTATCCCTGAAGCGGGCATGCTGAAGTAACTTCATATACCCGCAGCCTCTAATCAATTAGTAACAGGAGGAAAACTCCTCTGTCTGCAGATATGAGAGAGTGTGTTGTCATGGTTTTTTTGGCGCAGTGCAGAGACAGATGGTAGGGGGACGTAGGTGTTATACTAAATTGGACCAAAGGGAACCAGGGCTAAGAGAGAACCAGATCATGATCCTAATAATGTCATTATTTTTACCTCCTAGGGCGCATAAGTCATTTTTCTTTGTTACAGCAGAAGGCATGAGACCATATTTTCAGTAAAAAAAAAAAAAAAGTAGAGCCATTGTGAGGTGTATCTTTCTTAAATCCTCAGTTTCCTGCCACACATGACATATGTGTTTTCTTCCTCTGATGACGATGTTTTTGAGACTTCCAAGCTCAGTAGTCTGTCCCTGTTTTGGTGTTCATGCATGATTTACATTCTGTTTGCTTTCTGGGATTCTTGCATTGGTATGTAAATTCAGTCCTATACGGCACAAAGTTGGGTCAGGGGACTCTTTGAGAGGCTGGGGGACTCGGCTGAGCAAAGTTTCCCACACTCCCTCCCCCCTTTTGTAGCCCAGTCCCCCTTCCATCCTTCCTCACCACCAAACACCCGGGTCTCTAGTCATCTGGAAAAGAAAGAGAGGAAGGGGGTAGGCTTTCAGTTAAAGCCCACTACAGGAGCCTAATTTGACAGACTTGTTTTTTTTTTCTTTCTTATGCTAAGTAGCACTCTGACAAAGTCTGTAAAGGTGGACTTTTGATATGTGGAAACTCTCAGATAAAAATGTGCAGTCTTTGTCAACGAGGAAGAAAGATGTGGTGGAATTAAAAGAATTTGCAGGTCTTTGTGTGATCTGCAGCTGAGGTCTCGTCGCCTCTAATAGACGAGAGCTTCCAGATTCTTAAAAGTGTATTTCGTTCTGTGGGAATTTAATGGGAAAAACACATCCTTGAACACTTTCCAAGTGTCGATACATGCCTGTCTCTTTGTCTGTGCGTGTGTGTGTGTGTATCTTGCAGCTGCAGTCTCTGGTGTCATGTTAACAGTGGGCTCCTGCCTTTGACATTCCTGAGACATGCCTCAACATGCTCCTGCTCACACTGATCAACAGTCAAATCATAAACCAGAGTCACGTTTTTCTCCTCAAACACAGGCCCTCCATCACCCTGCTGTTCTCTTCTCAGTTGCGTTCCCTCTCCATCATTCTTTCTTGCTGTGTGTTTACCACCACACCCCACCCCTATGTGAAATCCCTCCCACCATGACCAATCAAGCTCCAGACAAGACAACAGCTGATTGTGTTTTTGTTTGAGATGTAGTTGATATGTGAACCATGTCTACATGAATGTTTCAATGTCAGAGCTCTCCATAAGCAGCCAAAAATCTTTTAGGCTACTGTTAATAATTGCATCAAAAGGCAGATTATCAGTTTTGTAAATATGACTGTTCATCCTCTAAAGGCCCAGCAGCAGCCGACCCCCATCAGCCATTGTGCCATCACATCTCGTCAGCAGGCCCAAAAAAGGCCCCCATTGTGTCCCTCCAGTCCCCAGAATAGACTCCTCTGTTTTTTCCCGGGAAAAATGCACGCCCCCTCACCCTCGCTCACAAGAGTGACTGAACTGTCTGAAGGCGCACCAGCCTCCTGGGTCGTTCCCCCATCTCATACTGGCTTTAATGAAGCAGCACTGATCCCTTTTGTCTGCGTGTGTGTTCCACTGGGAATCAAACCGCATACACAATAGGGGAGGGTATAGTTTATGTTTGGATGGTGGTCTGGCAGGGCCAAAGTTCACGTGGTGCCTCTCCACGTGCAGCACCATACATATTAAAAACATCTGCAGTCGTCTGTGCTCTCTGGACTCTCTGATTTGGTCTCAGGGACTTTGAATAAACACAGAAAAAGTTTGTAAGTACAAGTAGAAAACTTTTTCCTATACTTAGTGCAGCTTCTGAAATAAGAATCCTTGTCTTGAGATAAACAGTGAGTGCAACTATCGTTATCAACTGTCTCAAAACACTTTAGGATGTTGAAAATATGATTACTGATGAAATAAAATAAATATTCACTTTAATGTATTTTTCTTACTGAAGGTAACTGATTGATGGAAATTAATGTTGTCAACAGTTTTCATACTTTGATACTTTTTGGTACCTTGTAATTTAAAACACAGGGTATACAATCTCTGTGATTCCAATGATCAGTAGTTTGGAAAAGTACCGCAGTTCACCGAAAAGAGAGAGAACACTTTCTAAATTGCACAAATGCATTTGCACAGTGTGCGTTGTTTGTGCCATTTAGACAGTGTACAGGAATATACCTGCAATTTTGGTAATTAAAGTACTAATATTGGGTGCCTGGGACTTTTTTTATTGCCATGGTATTGAAACTGTTATTTTTTTTACAGATTTTTACTAGTATCATATCAGAGTTTAAAATTCTGGTGCTATGACAACCCTAGAAGGGATACAGCAAAATGAGTAGAAATTCTGCTTTGTTGTTTGTAACCATCAACAAGAGTTTGTGCAGAGGTTTGTGTGTTCCCTTATAAGTTGATACTAAAATATCTGACAGTGAAAGGGACTATGGGGCGAGGCTGCCTCCCAGTTGAATTATGTCTGAGCTGTTTTGATGTGGCATAGAAGGAGGATGAGGCGCTGCTTACCAAAATAACCACCCCCCCCCCCCCCCCCTCCCTCCCTTCACAGAGGTGTGTCAGTCATTTCTGGAGAATGCCTCTCACATTGCTTTGTCAGCAACTCAGAAAGTAGGTTGGTAGACCAAGATGGGGAGAGAGAGAGAGAGAGAGAGAGAAAGAAAGTGACTGGTGCAGAAAGAGAGGTGGGGAGAGTAGCCGGGAAGCAACAAGAGAGAGAGAGACAAGATAAGAGGCAGGAGAAGGAGATTAATGAGAGCAAAAAGGTTTGGTGAAGGAGAATACTTGAAAATGGAGAGGACAAGGACAGCAGATGGAGAGTGCAGATATGGACAGCAGAATCTCGATGGTTGACCTAGTTTTTATACCTGTCCGGTCACACACACACACACACACACACACACACACACACACACACACACACACACACACACACACACACACACAATGGTACAGAGAGAGAGAGAGAGGTGATAATGCCGCAGTGCAGTACCCACTGATATTGAGCAGCAGGTATGTGTTGTCATATTTTGTGCCGTACTTTGTACTCAGATGGGAGATGATGATAGGTAGGGACATACGCCGCCCCCCCCCCCCCAATGGAAAAGTGGAGATAAGGTGTCAATTGCTCCCGCTCTGCTTCCCCATCTTCATTTTTCTCACCTTCCTCAGTCTGTTCCTCATGTGACGCAGGAACGATCATCTTAGTGACCCTAGGTTAATGCTCTCATCCTTTGTTTATGTGATCTATTCTTACCTTCGTCACACACATTCCTCTTATCATTAGGAGTAGCTGTGAGCCACGCCCACGCTCACATGTCTCTCTACCTGTTAATGAATGTTAATGAGAGCAGAGTGCAGTGGCCATTTAATCCCTTAAACATGCATTTGCATTCAAATTGGAAAAAAAAAATGAAAAAAATACAGACATTTAGATTTTTTTTATAGGAATCGAGGGAATCTGTTTTAATGTAGATATTGAAATGTGAATGTATGTTTTAAGGAATTAAGAAAAAAGATGACTGCTTCAGAACTCAGTTTAGTGGCGGTTGAGGACAGAGAGGTTGTTGCTGTCTTTTTGAAAAATATCTCCTTGAGATAAGCAGAGAATATTTCAGGGAAATAAAATGGGCTGATGTAGTCATAATTAAATAATTCAAGAGCACTGCTGCGGTTAGCTGAGCTGTGCTGTGTGGCTCGCTGGCTCCACCTGGTGGTGACAAAAATCTGTGACTCCAGGTTAAAGTTCAAGCGCTTCAGTCTCAGTTCTTTTTACTGACTTGGTGACTGTTGGTGTGATCATCTGGAATCTGCAGCTCAGCTGTGCACATGTTGTGAGTTATTTGCAGAACATTTAATGCAAGCATAACAAAAACAAATACATTCTTTGATCATTTGAGGGAAAAAAAGATGTTTGATCTTATTGGAACAGCCAGTGCCCCCTAGTGGTACAACACAGGAAAGTTTAAATAGTCCTGCTGATATTCCTAAATACCAGCTGTACATGAGTATACATAAAAATACACACCTGACTCTAACCTTGTCTCTCTTACAGGTGTGATGAGTACGTCACTCAGTTGGATGAGATGCAGAGGCAACTGGCTGCAGCAGAGGACGAGAAGAAGACCCTCAACTCCTTGCTGCGGATGGCCATCCAGCAGAAACTGGCCCTGACTCAGCGCCTTGAGGACCTGGAGTTCGACCACGAGCAGACCCGCCGGGGAGGCAGCGGCACCCGCAAGACCCGCAGCAAGGCCGCCAACGGCACCCCCAACAACCCCCACGTAAGTCAGAGTCTCACCTGCTCTGGCTCCGGCCGCCCGGAGCACATCAATGCCGTGCCCAACGGCATTCTTGGAGGCCCCGCGGTCTTTTGCAGCGAGAAGTACAAGATCTACTGCGACTGAGGCTGCTGAGAAGTGTACAAGGGACTGCTGTGTACAGAGGGGAGGGGGCCTTCAGGCCGAACCCTCCCTGCCTTAGTGTTTAAGAGCCCCACTTGCTCGCTTAGCTCCTTGGCTGGCCTGCGCTCCTCTAGGGACTGCTGTGTGACTAACCAGCTGCTCGTGTGTGCTAGTGTAAACGCTTAGGGGAATGCAGGTGTATGTACAGTGTGCACTAGACGTCCGGACTGTAGTAGACATACTTGGCATGTGGAGTATAGGGCCTGGCTATATTGGGGGTTTTGTGGATATTATGGAGTGTCTATTCTTTCCGCTGTCATAGTGCTGTACATGTAAAAGGTGGCATATTTTGTGCTTGTGTGTTCTGGCCCCCTGAGTGTATTGCCTGGTAACAGTAACACATTGTGGGCGTGGGGACTTGTAAAGAGGATGTCAGTCTGACAGTCGTGTGACTAAATATGACATCCTCTACTCTCCAGCCTGTCTGTCGGCATCGGTGCTCCTTTAAAGACCCCAGGACTGACCTGTGTCCAGCAGCTATCTGTCCAATCGGGTCATCGTTTAGGAAAAAAAAAAAAAAAAAGGATCTAAAATATGCAATCTCCCTCGGCTTTGTCGCCATGGGAGCACAGTGTGATTTTTACAAAGACATACACAAAAACTGAAAAGTGGATCGGCTGCTATTTTTCTGAATGAAAAGTTCGGGCAGACAAAAGGAGCACCTGTGACCGCAGGTGATTTATTTCAGGATCATTTTATAAGCTGTGATGCTAGCACACCAATACTATAGGGTCGGTAGAATCGCATGGCTTTGCAGCTGAAAACGCTTTTTGAGCTTTGAAAACCGTTTTTCTTTTTTTCTTTTCTTTCGTCAGGTGTGTGGTACAAGAGGATGTATAACAGGGCTCTACATTGTGTTAAGAGAAGTCATTTGGTGTCTGGTGAAACACAGGAGGGCTATTCCATGTGACCCGTTAAGTTGCGATGGATTCTTTCAGAGCCATATTCTAATCGAGAGAGAAAGTTCGACAAATCGATCTCCACACACAAATTAAGTGCACTTCGGCAAAAGGTGCCTCAGGTTCCTCCTTCTCTTAAAATGGATACAATTACAATTACTGTGAACAGAGATATAATATAGTTTTGATCAAAGATGATTTTTTTAAAATATGGAGCAAATCCTAGAAGAGCACAAATCAAATCGGCACCAACATGTGTGGATTATTATTCTGCTCAAGAAACAAAACCGACCACTCGGCAAAAGTGCCTGTCGACCCAAACACTTGATATATGAATCTGTTGATGTAAAGCCCTGTCCTTGTGTCTCGACTTGATCTGTCTCTCATTTTATTCCTTCTACCCTCCATCCTCTATTTCTGAGAGATCTGAAATCTTTTTTTTTTTTTTCTGTGGTGTTATGGATGAAAACCCTTTTCCTCATGTCTCTAATCTGTGTCTTGTCGCTCTGTTGCCACTACGACCTTCTCTCTTTTTTTAGGTTGTCAGCAGCTTGCTCCCCTCAGCATCAACACTCACCCTTTAACTAGAAAGAGGAATTGTGGGGGAAATCCCCCCCCCATAAATATATATTTTTGTCAGGTAATGTCCTCACTTATGTTGTGCTCTTGGTATTTTTCTGTTTGTTTATGAGCGTTGAAATGAGCGGCCCTCATATTTGTGTCATGTTATTAACATGGAGGGTCGCTGATTTTTTTGGATTTTTTTTTGGGTGTGTGAGGACAAAACCATGTACTGTAGTTTCCACAATAGCTTTAAACCCTTTGCAAACTAGTATTACGCAAATAGGAAAAGATAAGTGGGGCTTGTATTGATAAATCCATGTACGGCTTGTGGATCATAGACACACTAGCTTCATGATGCTAGAAGCAGGGTTGATGTGAGGAAATCCTGCAAGGTTTATTATGAAGTGATGCATTTTCTACTACTCCTAAACGATATATGAAACTATATTCTTGATATGATTATGTTCAGGTTATAATCTTGCAGGATGCTACTACAGTATTCCTTCCTCTCAAATGTAAAAGAGAGGGAGCTTAACGATTCCTCGAAAAAAGAAAAAAAGGAACAATGTCAGCAGTCAACCCTGCTTGAGTGTGCATCCATAAGCCTCAGCACACAGCATGGACACAACGCTATTGTACAAAGTAGAGCAAAAAAAGAAAAAAGAAAAGAAAAGCAACCTCCTTAGAGGTCACTCACTCTTAAGTTTGAGATTCACCTAACTTACTAGTGTGACATGTTCTGTTTCTATCAGTTAGCGCTGACTGAGAAAAAAGGGGGTTTAGGGAGTAGAGGTGGGAGAACTACTCATGTTGTAAACCAGCTCATGAGAGATAAGAGACCCAGACACGCTGGTGAAGAGAGAAAAAAAAAAAAACAGACGTCGGGCTAAGAGCTGACTCTGTAGAGAAAACGAGGCCGGGGGTTCCCTGTGGGTTGAAACTCCGGTTTGTGTTGGAGGCAAAATGAACTATAAAAAAAAGTGAAACCTGGCTGCCTGATCGACCGGAGGACATTGATTCAAATTAGTCGAGCTCCTTACCTTTTCTCTTGTACAGGCTCTGTGGACTCACTGAGCAGTAGGTAGACACCCAGGATGTGATCGTGACTCTAGATAGACGAATTCCCACTTTTGCTCCATCTACGTTGAAATCAATGTCTGACTTGCGTGGCGTCATAACAGCATGCCACCTAAAATACTCCTCCTACCTCTGCTTGCAGGCTCCTCCCACCACACCTTTAAGTTGAACTCCACTCGAGTCATCCAGTTTCTCATTTTATCGTAAGCCTGCATGTCAAAAAAACATGACCCATTTTTCATTCACTCGCATGGCATATACAGTATATGAGAAACGCCGATCTCCTTTGACCTGGGTGGTGGCGGTGGCAACACTCGGCTTTAACTCCGTCCTTGGTTCAAGTGAGTCACTGGCCTCCTAACAGCGGCAGCAACATCCGCCTCGTTGATAAGACCTAAAAATAACACTGGCTGTTTCAGGTTCTCCTAACATGGCTTCTGTTGCTTTGACTAACCTTCGGCCGCCTTCTGCTTCGTCTGTGTGGACTCAGCCGCTGATTAAACAACAGTCACTCTAAGTTGACAAATAATGCTAACGCTGATCATGTGTCTGTTTCTCCATTTTGCAGTAATTACAGTAGTTCTGCGCGGAAGACGAAGTACCAACACAAGGTCCATTCTCAATGCTGATTGAGCTCGCCGAATAAAAGATTAAGCACTAATATATGTCATTTGGACTTTAAGATAAAGGCTCAATGAAAACACTGATCTTAAGTCAATCCAACTTTCAGTTTAAACTCTATTCTTATCAGGATGACCCTCGTTTCTTCGTGCTGCTGCTTTTGGAAGCAGGTTTCTCACTGGTCCAATGAACTGGATTTGTGATTGGCTAATATAACCCTCCAATGAGAAGCCAGGGGACAAAGAGTTATTTCTCAATGCAAATCAATAAGCTGTTTGGTCTGGTTTCATCTTCGTTTTTATTTTTTGTTAATTTGTGTTTTGTATCTGTGCACTTTCATTATATAGGATTATAATAGACTATTTTTAACATTGGAAAGCGTGGTAGTACTTTGGTTTGTGAGTAACTCAGTTTAGATAATAGGATAATACGTCCTCCTGATTCATCTTAAGTAACAATATCTACTCTAGTAACTGCTCCACAAACCACAGACCTACTATAATGATCTCCACATTTTATCCATCAAATAATCATTCTTCGATTGTTTTGTTACATAATATGTTATGCTGTTGGTTTTCTTTTATGTTTGTTCTACTGCCATGTTCTATTCAAAAAAAAAAAATCCAGGGTGATCAAATTCTGGGGTTTTTTCATGTATTTATTATTCCTAGGAATAGTTCAAAATAACACAATGAAACTTGACGACGCTCTGACTCAAATAGGTAAGTGGTGTTATGGGAAAACTTTGAGTGATATGATATGCTTTTTTTTTTTCCCTAACTTCTTACCGAGGGCGTTCCACTGAACGGGATCACTGGCTTACAGAATTCTCTGCAAGTGCGACAATTAAATTCCAAATTGGAATTGTTTCATTCTCTCTTTGTTTATCGTGCCATATCTTGGTACACCATTTAGGTTGAAAAGAATCAAGACTGGGAAATAAGACAAGCCGCCACTGACTGTGGCTGCCCGAGCTCGCGCCGGGGTTTTGTTTTTGGTTTGATTAATTCTTTGTTTCCGACCAGTAGTGCCTTTCATTGTTTCAAGGGAGAATCTTAGACTAGCATTTTATGTTTTCTTTATATATATATATATACATATATATATATATATATAGGTAGGTGAGGACTTTGGGTTCAAAATGACTGTGAGCAGCAATAAATGCAAAGGGAAATGCCCCCTGTCTGCATGAGTGAGATGATAGTTTGAAAATTAGCTCAATAAAACTGAAATTGTTTTGAATTCTGCAGGTCAGTGATCCATTCAATAAATTCAGGGGTATTATAAAAAGGTTGTTTTTTTTTATCAAACTTTGGGAACCAAAAGAAAATCCCTTTGGCCTCCTGTTATTGAACAAAATGCTCCAAACATCTGTAACGTGTTGGGGTGCATCAGTGTACAATTGGAAACATCGACGTATCTCTAACTTTGTTTGGTGAAGGTAATGTGATATCAATAGTATTGTTGAAAAATGTGCAGAGAGCGCATTTTATCTTTCTTTTGTCCAATTTGAGTTCTGTTTGTTGTTTTTTATATTCTTTTTTTTTTTTTTTTTTTACTTCATCTTTAAGCATTGTGTTTTCAGTAAACAGAAAACAGAAAGAAGCATCAACAAGCTTGAATAGTGCCATTAAAGCCAATGCTTGTTTGTTGAGGCGTTAAAGTTACAAATACGGATGAGAAGCTAAAAGACAAAAGTGCAATTCAGATGCTGTTTTACGTGAAAAAAACAAAACAAGGTTTTCTGTTTGCTGGAAGCTATAGCATTGTGATAATACAATTTAGCTGTGCAAACTTTATATTGTCATATTGTGTTCCAGTATTGATCCATAATGAGAGTTTGATATCTTTATATGAAATAACGACTTCACCTGTATGTTGTATTTATTTGAATTGTAATGCAGTACTGTATTATCAATAATGTGCATTATGATTAGTGGCATATTGATTACGGCTAAATGTCATATGCATGTTCCTCAGTCATGGACCTTTACACAGAATTGAAAAACAAACATGTTAACTTTTGTCAGGATGTTACAAATTATGGAGAGAAAAAAAAAAAGAAGAAGAAGTTTGAGTCTGATGTATTACTGCTGAACTAATCCTAACAAAGTGTTTTGTTTGTTTTCCAGTAGAGAGGGGGGGTTTCTCTGTGTAAAGGTAGTCATACTGGCTAAAATCAATAAATGTGACTTAAGTTCCAAATGCGTGTCAGTGTTTTTATTTATTTGGAGCTCCTTCACAGCCTCGGCAGATGAAGGGTTAACTAGGGAAGTGTACGCCTTGTGTCTCCTCCAAACGATCCCAGCTCAAAGTGAACGGCAGGGGAACTTCCCAGCTGTCTGAGCAGCAGCTCCAGGACATGATCACATTTCACACAATGCACTAAAACACTTCCACCACCTACTCGCCCTCCACCCTAGCAGCCCTCTCTCTCTCTCTCTCTCTCTCTCTCTTTCCTCTGTTGTCTCACTTAAACCTCCCTCCCTCTCTACCTTCCAAGCATTTTCTCCTTTTCTGGTCCTCCCCTCCCCTCTCTCTGCCTTCTGGAGATACACCCACACACTGATCACAGCCAGTTCTCTTCTGACCTCTTGGTACTCCCTTCACTTCCTGTCTAGGCTCTTGGGGCCAGTGCTCTCCCCAATTAATGCTGCATTGAGATTTTTGTATAGAGGAAAGATACTTTCAAGCTTTTTAAAAATAATCCATCCTGAATTCAAAAGAGATGCATAGATTTAAAATGCTGTTTACTTAAAAGTGAGTATATACACACGTGGTCAAACAAATGATATCGTCTCGATTGGAGTGAACATCTTTTCTTCATACATCTTTTCAATAAGTGTTTGATGCATTTGCGGGATCAACACAATGAATCTATATCTTCTCTACAGATCGAAAAAATGGATCTCAGAAAGATATCGGTCAATATATCGGTATCTGATTTTTTTTCTCTCCCTAATATCAATATCCATATTGGCCCCAAAATCCAATATCGGTAGGGCCCTACAAATAATCACCCAGACATCTTTTATAGTCCCAGCTATATTCAATTCAAGTTTTGGTTATGCATTTGTATGTAGGATTTTCTCATGCAGAGAACACACACCAACACTTACAGTAGCCTTTAGGTTTAAAAGTATTTTGATTTTTGAATCCTGGATGCTTAAAAAGATGACAAATGATGTGACTGTCAAAATGATCAATGGATGTCTCGACGTGGGATCAAGCCCCCCCATCATCAACATGACTCACTGTGCGTCATCAAACTGCCATTTCAGACCTGCGTATGTTACTTTCTGGTGTGAACAAAATCTTGATTCAAATATTGAAACAAAATTCAGTTGAATTGCTCTTAAGGTTCCTAACATTTCTCTTTTGAAGACTATTCAGATCCATACAGAAAAGTGTTATACTGAGTCAAACATTTAAACAGCATGACTTAGTCCTCAACCTCAACACCACCAGCTGTGAGTCCCAAAGGTTTCCAAAGGTAAGAATTAGAGATCGAGTATCATGCACCTTTGGAAAGATTGAATAGAGACTTGCATGAAAAATAAAGCAAACAAATTGAGCAGCTTTCATCTTTGTTGAGCTTTATCAGTAAAATGGCAAGACGTATGCACTTGTTTATTTCACTCCAATAAAGCTGGAGGGGAGTTAGCTACACGTAACAAATAAACAAAGGAAGGTCAAAATGGATGCAGTAGACTTAGAATTGGAAAACCTGATTTATCCCCTAGGGCAGTTCAGTTCCACAGTCCACCCAGACCAAGCATACATTAACAAATAAAAACAGATGGAGAATGTCAGAGACAACAAACCAGTCCGTAGAGGTTGAGACCGTGTTGTCAGGCTCCATAACAATACGTTACTACATTTTCAATAATCCAATAAAAAATAGGGTCTATTTTTTTGTGAAAGTTTTACACAAGAAGACCCCATCAAAGAGTAAAAATCCAAAAGTTTTTTTTGTAGGTGAAAGTCAAGTAAAAAAAACCCTCATCCATGAAAAAGTGTTCGTATTGAAGAAGTTTTATCACGTGGTACAGATGTATTTTTCCGTTATTTAAACACCTTCAAGCCCAAAATAACATCCTATCAATAGCATTAATTACTATGACACCCACTCACAGAATGCTGTTTTTTTTTTTATCTAAATGAAACCAGTCACAGTCATTAACCATCTGCCTCTCTGAATTCAAATGACAGAGTCTTTTAATGGGAGCCAGAGGGGAGAGGTCATCTCAGTGACATCACTGTAGTAACAGTGGAGCCTTTGTTGGTGCCCGTCTCCTCTTAAAGCCTCGGCACAGGGCTCATGTGGCAGAGGAAATGTGGGTCAGTGGGCCCCGTTCCATCAGAGCTGCTTTATTAATATGCAGGTGCTGTGATTAAACAGCAGAACAGATGTTTCACGTCTAAGCTGGTGCACTGCTAAATTCAACCACTTGGGGTCACTATAATACAGCTCATGAGCAGCCTTGAATCCTAAAAAAAAAAAAAAAAAAGAAGTCATTTGAAGGTCTGCTGCAGGCCATGAAAGAGAGTTAGAGTTGTGTGTTTGCACGTACAAAGACCCTTCTCAGGGTATCAGGCCGAGCTGTCATGTGATGAGTCCATGTGGAGCCTGAAGGGACTCAAAGACGGGATCAGATGATTTGACAACACATACCTCACATGGCTTTGCATCAAAGACATACACAAATACACAAGTTACCAAAAAAAAAAAAAAAGGTTCCACTAAAACAGGAATAATTACCACAGAGGACGGTAAGAAATGTATGACCTGTGGAGTGTGAGCTCTGCCTGATGATGCGTTCAAACATTCCTGAGTACTGACACTGGACGCAGGGTGTGAGTGTCCTCCCTCCTGCGTGTGACTCATGTAGTGTCTCCCTGAAACTGTTGGTGTGGTCCTTAAAAAAGGCAGGCTACAGCGGTATCGTCTACGTCAACACATGAGGCGATAATTCAATCAGTGTGAGGCTTTAATTTGCACCTGAAAAGGAGGCTAGGATGAAGACTGGCACCCTTTTCTAGAGTCTGATGAGTCATGATTGGAGCATTTACACTGTGAGAGTTTTTGAAGCTCATCTCACACTTGTCTGTGTCAACTCTCACACCTTTACTTCAGCTCGGATGCTAACCTGACACTCTCTTAATTGTCTTTCCTCGCATACCCTCCCCCCTTTTCCTTAAATCCCTCCTTCTCTTCTTTTTCCCTCCTTCCTTCCTCTCTTTGAATGCTTGTTTCACAGTTTTTCTGTGCCTATGAGTGCAGAGAGACCCCAGGGAGGCCGAGTAGAGGATGTATCCCAGGGGGCTGTTTGGTGTTCTGCTTTCTGTGGACCAGCATGCTCCCAGACGGGCTGACAGGCAGCTCCATGCACTTGGAGGCACTAACACGGGGCTCCGGGGGCCCTGGTCTATTCAGAACATGAGTTCAGTCATCCACAAAGAACTTGGCTTTTCAAACTCTGAACAGTATTATTCTGTTAAGCAAAGAAATGAAAACTCTAGCAAACTAGAGGGGCGTTTTTTATTATTTTTGGTTCATTTTTACATCTGCAAAATTAAAAGTAATGCTTGGCAGTTTATGTGATTAATGCACAGCTGATATAAGTAAGGGAGGAGGTGATTGATAGACATGGTTTATTAGAGAGCAGCACAGGTCACTGAGGTGGCCGGCAGCCAACACAGGGAGCCATTATCATCAGAGACCCTGCTGTTGTCTGTGTTGGTCTGGGACAGATGAAAAGCGTGCAGCCACAAAAGGGGTTAATGATGTGTGGCTGAGTCGACACGTGTTTCAAAAAATGGGGGAGGGCAAAGAGACACAATGCACAGAGAGTGGTAAGGAGGATTGGACACAACCACACAGTCATGCTCCTGGAGATGGATTGTAATGACATAATCAAGGAAATAAATCGACATAAGCAATGCTGAAATCCTACCCATCCCACACAACGAAATCCTCAAAAAGTTCTACGTTCAAAACTTTGAATATTGAAGGGGTTTGGCACATTTTTTGGGGGGCGCTACCCACAGGTTTAGCTCTGTTGCTCATTCCACAAATGCACGATCCTTATAAGTTATACCTCGTTGTAAAGGTGACTAGTCAGGCTTTCCAATAATTAATAATACAACACCAATTCATATTATTAAAGGGGCGAACATAATTGACCGAAATAACTTTTCCAAACTTTTTTTTTTGAGGAGTTTACAGTATATGGCATCCGACTGTTACTGATGGATCATTTTGAAGAATGTTACTATTTTAGCTGTATGGCTGAGTAAGAGATTGTCAGGTCATTTAGTTCAGTGGTTCCCAGCCAATGAATGGGTCTAATGTTAAGAGCGGCAAGATAAATCTGTGTTGTCATAAGATGATAAATCAAGGGTTGGAAGGCATAAAAACAAAATGATGCTACACACGTTTGTGGTCTTCTCTCTGATCTGGGTGATTATGGTAATATTTGGAGAATTTGGCTCACCGAGTATCAAATTCATATTTTTAATGAAGTATAGTGAAGTCTAAATTTGAAGGGAAAATCACATTTTGGTGGTTTTAGAAATCTCAAGCTTGTATAGAGCTTATCTAGTCTTCTAACTACTCAAGAGCTTTTACACTGCAGGTCACATCTACCCATTCACACGCTGAGGCTGCTATGTAAAGTGTCCATCTGTATTAGCTAAATCCCATTCATACACATGTATACGCCACATAGAAGCAAGCGTGAGCAACTTGGGGTTAAGTGTCATACCCGAGGACCCATTGGACATGTGCCTGACAGAGCTGGGGATCGAACACCCAACATTCTGATTGAAAGACAACCAACTCTACCGCCAAGCCACCGGCGCTCAAACAGTGCAAGGGGCTCAAACTGCCTTTTCTTGTTGAGTTATTAACCAGAAGGATTAGAAATAACTTTATTCTACAATGATACAATACAATTAAGAAACCTACAATCTGCTTTAAATGTAAAATAATAACCTGAGAAGTATGTTACCCATTGAAACACAGTTAATATAACTATATTCCTCAATGAAATGTAAAATGGCATTTTAAAAAAAACTAACAACACACATTTTTGTGGTTCATTTTGTATGTGTGTACATTTTTCATTCTCGCCACCACTGCAGACAAGGAAGTTTAAAGATCAAACACTTGACCACAATGGCTGCAGCATGTGAAATAAAAA